TATAAGACCAAATCCATATGTTTTTTCGATGAATGCACCACAGCAGCTTGACATAAGACGGTGCTTTAGATTTTTAATTTTGGCCCCACCTGTTTCTATATTCTTGATCAATAAGCCACATTACCCGGGAAGTGACAACACCTCGAAAAAGTGTTTTTCAATATCAATGGCAAAACATCTTGACAATGGGTATTTCTGATATTCTTCGTAACGCCCGCAACTTGGTAAACTCCGAGTTAAGGGAGAGATTACTTTTGCTGAAAGACATCGTCACAATCAGATCGTCAAAAAGTATCATGAATGACAAAATGGTGTACAGACAAAATTCCTTAACGACAGAAGCCCATGCTGCAATGCAGCACCACGACAATAATCCTAATCACCTACCATAGAGGCACCACGACAAACAAAAAATTCTTATGTCTAATTTAAACTATTTGGATTTTCATTTGTGAAGGGCTATTATCCTAAGAGCCTTTTGACAGACAAATACAATCATACCTTTGGTTGTACCACAGTTAGTCTTTTTCTACGTTTTGCAACAGATTTGTATTGACCAAAAATCATGTTATAGCCAAGCACAGATATTTGTGCACTTTGGGAAATAATTTGAATCTTAAACACGAATATTTCAAATTAGTTTTAATTTAGTTTTTACTTATATGGTTAAAATAAAGATTTCTATTTAGCTCTATTTATTTGATGCGATAATTACAGATGGGAGGTTAAGTTCCTGTCTGCTAGAGGTAACCTCATGAGATCACTAGCTAATTATTACTGTTCATGAAATCATATAGTGGAGACAGTAGGTGATACAAAACTATAATGAGAGACTTAACTTGATCATATCAAGTCAGGCCATTATTAAGGGAAATGAAAGAACTATCGTTAATTAAATTAAATCAATGACATTCTACCGTTGTCACGTTTACGTTAGACTATCTTGTCTTTTTTTTCTGTTGAGTTTTCCTCGGCAATGTCCACGACAAGCATGGATCAGCATTGTTAGCTAAGCATCCGGTTGAGAAAGTCGTTTTGAAGCCGACGTAAAAAAAGACTGAGACGAATTTCATTTTAGAGACTCCGAACTTCCATATATAAAAGAATGAGGTCAGGCAAAAAAGCACTACACGAATCGAGCAAGATATAAATATTGCCGAGAGAAAAGGAATTTCGACGCATCATATAAGCTCTGACTGTTGAAAGTATTTCAAATTTTTCACAGAAATTACAATAATTACATATAAATTCTGAGCTGAACAATGCGCCAAATCTTCACACATTTTTTATTTATTTTTGCAATGTCGATTTTAAGTGATCAAGTTTATCTCAGCAAGGATATCCCAATTGGAGCATTTCTGTAATGCAGAAAGTCTCAAAATCTACCAATCTAGCTATATCGAAAACAGGTTATAATGGAGTTGACATTATTATATTCATCCGAACTAGGTCCTTCGGAAATCTTCGATAATCAAATATTAGTTTAAATGCCCTGTATCTAAATATACAAGAATCTTTTAGTGAAAAAAAAAAGAAATTTCATACGAATTTTGCCTTGAAAATTTTCAAGAAAATTATTATTGACCAGTGTTTTGTTTTGCTTTTTTCGGTGTAAAACAATTCATTTCAAATTTCTGGGCTGTCGTTTTGTTCACTTTTTCTCAAGAAACATTTCTCAGCAATCTAAATGTATCAAAAACCCAGAACAAGTTTATGTCTACCATAAATGTTAAATATATCACCAATAATTGATTATCTTCACCGAAATGTAGAGAAATTTGTCCCTTAAATTATCAGCATGTTTTGACTTAATATTACTGTTTATTTTAAAACGCCAAAACTTGATAAAACGAAATTTAAGCAAAATAAATGGTAAGGAAATAAGTATCCTACTTAACTAAAAATATCGAGTCATTAATAAACAAACGGTACGATCACGCCTAAAACAAATTCAGGTTGATAAAATGAAGGCCTCCACATTACTTTAGAAATCTATTACTGTCCATTTAAGACTCTAGTAACCACTATCATATCGGACCTAAATCGCTCTTCTTTATGAACACCAAAGAGAACACTCATGTATTAACTCGGTACTTGACAGTTTTGTCACTATCAGAAAATCTTGAAAGCGGATAACTATCTGTGAAAAACTTTCGCTGGTATTTGCTAATCAAACATAAAATAAGGCAAGTCTACTGATCCGTGATTGATGTATTAATTGGACTCTGTATGGTACCATTTAACACCAAGTAACGTTAAAAGACAGATTTATTGCGTTTCATTTCCTATCGATTCCGGAAGTTGTAGGAGTATAAATTTCCGGTTGTCAATATGTCATGAATCTTAACTCGTTAACTAATTTAATTAGCCTGTTCGGTGACACCTGATATCAGTTTTCATTATGAAATATTTTCTCAATTATGACTGATATACTACTGCTGCTACCAATGTTTTGCCAGCATGTTGTTTGGTTTTCGGGTTTAGTTTAGCGGTTCGGAGCGTTAGTTATATGTTATATAGATTTATAAAAGTCAATTTCAAATAAACCATTCGTTGCATTTCATGAATAACAAAGTCCTGTCGTTTTCACATTTTATCTGATTGGACTGAGCAGTTTTAGACCGTACCTGACGTTTGAAACGTGAAAGGTTGTTTCGCATATTTACCAATTCTCAGAGCACTTGAAAATGAAAATAATAAACACATGGTGCTCTATTATAACCATGGACTTGCTCTGGATATCTTGTCCTGAACCCCTTAATTAAGGTTAATTCAAGGAACAGTGAATATTGCAGACTTTGACTTCTTGAAGATTTTAGCAAATTAAATATACGCACCTTTCGTTTTCATGTCAACTAAATTCTAATATAATCATTTTTACTTTACCCCAAAGTGGAAATATTGACGTATATTACTGACGACATAGTCATACACCAAGTTCTATTTTGGTTTAGAGTTATTGCCCTTGACATAGATAAAAAAAAAACGAGTAAAATTTAAAATTGTTTTTGATATTAATTTAACATGGTATATTAGTATTAAATTGAATGAATGGTTTTGGAGTTCTTGCCCTTGACTTAGAATAAACGCCTATACAGTGTTTAATCCCGTATGATGAATTTTAAAATGAATGTGCATGTTGTTAAGACATTCTTCGTGTTTGAATTTGATGAACTGTACTTTAAGTAAAATATATTTTAAAAACAAGAGCAGTGTGATAATGATAATTTGATGTATTTGGGCTTTTGCTATAGATTTAAAAAACTGTTTAAATTTAGATTTTGAACAAATTCATTCTGAAGATTTAAAAAAAAAAAAATGAGAAAACTTTGTATGCCGCCAATTAGCGTATATTACCTTGTCTGGCAAACTATCGTCATCATACTGAAATATTGCTGATGTTCCTACTTCAAACGGCATGATTCTTGACATGTACCTTTAGCAACGGTGCGATATATATTATTTCATTGCTTTTCTCTCTAATTCTGACTTCAAGTTCCCTTTTTTAACGACAGCTAACCCCTCACCTATGTAATCTTGCAATTGAGAGATAGGTACGGGGCGGCCTTTATGTCTTTTTATTGGAAGCAATTTTGTCTTGGAAAAGATGTTAATGGGCAGTTTGGGCTGATGAATTTGGAGTCACGAGGATTCTTTGTCATTTGCCTATTGAAATGACAATGATTAATCTCGGTATTAAATACTTGTCTGTGCAATTTGAAACTGACGGAATTATGAAGTCGTTCAACCTATGAAGCTATAATTTAGTGACCCGTCTTCTTTAGACCACGTGGTGCAGAAATGTAGTACACAAAACTCTGTTCATTTTGTAATTTGATGAAAAAATGTCTTAATTCTCAGAAAAGGAAATTTTGTGGTCTTGGCTTCTATACTTTAAAAACACTTCTGAAAAGAGATTTATTACTCTGCCTTATATGATATCTATTAAAAAATCGCGGGGGAAAATTTGAACTAGATATAAAACATAACATTCCATCGGTTTCGGGAAAAATAGGTCGGTATCTGTAAGACCATTTAGATAGTGGTCTTTCTTTGAATTGACTTCAGTTTGTAAGTCATATTATGTAGCCTACCGTGACAAAGTACAAATAGACTATTTGTTCCCAACCTTTCTCAGCCGTCACACGACTTGAAGCAGTCACCTGGACCTTCCACACCCCTAAAAATTTGTTTCATCCACATTGCAGCATGTGTTGATGTGAGGTGCTCACTCAAAACAACCCAAATCAAATTCTTCTCCTACACCCTAGTCCCACACCCTCAGGGGGTGAAAACACCTCAGGGGGTGAAAACACCTCAGGAGGGAATTGAATGTATGCTCACATAGGTTCATACAGTCACATAAGTTTTGTATCCATTGCTACTACATAAGCCTTTCCCTTACTACTGGATTTGTTTCCACGTTCATGTTATAGATTTATTGCAAATATTCAATGAAGCTCAAAGGGCTCATATTATGTTCTAGCTTTGTGGCAGCACATCATGCACAAAATTATAATTCACTGAATTTGGTCTTTGTGCAGAATTTTTCAACCTTTATGAATACAAATTTAACATCAAAATTTAATAATGGTATTTTGCTTCTTGCTTCACTTGTCTGTGCTCTAGAACGAAATACGTGGAAATAGCGTCTAGTTCAGTTTAAGGTGCGGACTCACCAACTGTTTTGGTCGCCGATATTTGTCGCCGCCTAGAGTCTCGTTGTGTGTTGCGGTCATACAAGGGATCACACGACAAATCATCTCCAGTCGTTATATTTAATTTAATCTATAATATTTATTTGTTACGATATCTCCCAATTTCGTCTATTTCCAGTTCATCCCAGGCGCGTAGACCCCCCTTATTCTTGCCTTGGCCCTTAGACAAGAATGCCTTTAAATTATACTGCAATTGTGGAAGGATGAATGCATGAACACCAAGACGGATGGTAATGTATTTTGACAATATGCAGTAAAGACTGAAGCCGAACAAGACAATTGTTGCAAGTCAAAGTTTATTATCAAAAAGTATATCTTATAGTTTGAACGAGTGTATGATTTAAGTTGAAATATTGCTCAATACATCCGTTGTAGAACTATACAGAAATACCACGGTTAAAATAGTGTTCAATACATCAATTGTAGAGCTATATAGAAATACCACTGTTAAAATAGTACTCAATACATCAATTGTAGAGCTATATAGAAATACCACTGTTAAAATAGTACTCAATACATCAATCGTAGAGCTATATAGAAATACCACTGTTAAAATAGTGTTCAATACATCAATATAAAAATATTAAAACAGAAAACAAAAAAGAACATGTTATTACTCAAGAGTTTCACGCTATGCGATCTTCGGACAACTGACCTATTTTCAGTCTTCGTCCCTATTGAAGTTGGACAAGTAAAATCATTCTCATGTCTTCCAGACGAGTTCGGAACGTTTGTTTCAAGAAGTGTACTTAAAGTTATATATATATATAAAAAAAAAGTGATTCCAAAATATCGACATCTTTAAATATTTATTAAAATTATATAGTTTCTATCCGTTGAAATTTAATCTTCCATAATATTAATGATGCCTTTTTGTGCTATATTTTGCTTTTAGATATGATATCATGCCCGGCGATTATTATAGAGCTAATTTCCCATTGACCTATGTGTTTTTTACCCAACTGAGAAAGTCAGAAGTCAGAGTTCATATAACAAATATTAATAAAAAAAGATTGTATTTAAAATGATCATTCGAATTCGTTTATGATAAATCAACTGAAATTGTACTTTAATAATCTGAACAAAATCGTCTTGCTGGCATCCTACCATAAGGACCTGTAAATTTCTGCATTACAATATTGGTGCACATATTATTTGCCCATAATCTCCAATAACTGCAAGCAGAAGGTCTATTATGTCCAGACTTGCTCGCCAATGCTGCGTAATATCGTGATTGCCCATTATTATTATAAGCTGCACATCTGTGTGGATTGCCCTCATACACACAGTCATAGTCTTGATAGTTTGGTCTCGAACATCTTACATGAAATCTTCTATTTCCGCCTCCTGGTTGTCTACATTCAGCATAACTACAAGTATATCCATCATTGGGATTATACAGGAAATTGCCAATCATGCCCACACTCCAAGCTTTACTTAGGGCCACCATACACACCAACACTGCAGAAATTATTAACACACGCATACTGGTTTGCCTGAAAAATAAACAAGGAAAATACAAGTAACATCATCAATTTATTATAATCTCATATACGCCAGTTCGCATTCGGTAATCCTCGGCAGTTTCCGTAAAGGTTAATCTGACTCTTTAATGAGTAGTGAATTCCGTTGTGTCTTCTTGGGCCAGACTCTATACTTCAGGTATTTGTCAATGATTTGTCAGGTAATATTGTGACCTAAATATAGTCCTTAAACTTATAGACTTTGGGAGATAATCCTGACACTTGCAATGCATTTAATGCTATATTGTGACTATTGGTTATCCATTGATTTTATTATCAGTTTGAATACATATCTTATGGATTTTTAGTTTTCATTGACTTTGTTTACAAACACATCCATCGTCTTGTGGAAATAAACGACGCTTTATCATGTGACTTTTTATTTAAAGTATATGGGGCAATATAAGATTTCGAAATATTTAAAGCGTTGCTTCTCAAGTAAATAAGCTGAAGTGCCTCTTTAATTGTTTCGAATTGCTGAAGAGCCTTAGCTAAGCAAAATGCAATATGCTCGCTGATGCGCCACCAGTTGATAATCCCTGATTTATAGGTTTTTGTGGGGAAAAAATTTTAAATAGGAAACATGAAATGGATCTCTTTATTCTGACCTTCATTTGTTCCTGTCGAGATTCCATAAAATACACCCAACTAAATACCACATTGATAAAAATGTCAAGTAAGAAATCTGTCTAGGTGACGAAGCTTTAGACTCTTATGTCATATAATAAATTTGGTATAGTTCGAATGTAAACTATGATTCAATTACGTTACAGATTAATGATCATTCATAACTTTATTAATGTAATGTTTAGAATAATTCTTTTGTTCATAATTTTATTTTATTTGGTGCATATGTTACGTACTTTAAAATATTGAATTGGTCATCGTATTTTACTGTTAGGTCATAAACAAAGCAATAATAAATAGTCACTATCTTTCATTGATAACTTGGAATCGCAGTCAGATCCTGACATTTCGTGACGTTTACGTGGAAGCGAATAAGAAGATGTGGGTGTATTTTAAAGCGGTTATATAGACCTTGAGAGTGTTTTGATATCAAATACCAGGAATATAAACCTTTTAGGATTTAGTCTCTTTATTAAAGTTGTCAACGTGTTTGTACGGTTAAATGTCACTTCTGAAATCTTTTCATCTCTTCATCTTTCATCCAATGAAGCATTTGAAGTTTACATTCATTATGGAGACGTAATTGTCGTGAAAACCCTTTCTTAAATTGATTAGGCTTATTGTTGGGAATAAATATTTCATTATGATAAATTCATCTTTAATTCTAGATCAGACGACATATTTTAGAAGTTTAGTAGACTATGTTGCTTTAAACCACATTTATACAAGCGTTGCTTAAAACCACTTTTGCACAAGTGTTAGATCAGACGACCTATTGTAGACCAACGTTGCTTAAAACCATACTTTTCTACAAGTGTAAGATGATCCGACGACTTTTTTTTTGTAGACCAACGCTGCTTAAAACCTATCTTTTATACCAGCAGTACCAGCAATTCGTTACTTATTCTCTTGGTAGTTCATTATAATCAAAGACATAACAGAGTTTACTTAAGTACATTCGGTGCAATTTTGTCTTGTTAAAGTTATCATGAAAACAATTGTGTAATGTTATGACCTAAAGCGAAATAGTCAAACTATGCCTACCTTATATAACCTCACTGCCTTTTTACTATGCTGCCTTTTTGATTTTGTCAGCAAAGTTTACTCTCTTGGTTATATATAAGCGTTGAGGCCGGATGTTTCTTATAAACTTGATATTTGACCTTGTCTATTCCAGAAAAGAAACTTATACAAGGATGTATTTAACCCATTTGTATACTGTTAGTCTAGAGGTCAAGGCTTTAAGGATACTTGCACATGACACCACGTTTCATTTCATTCGAAGTTGATAAGAACTTAATTTGTTGTAACATCAACAGTTATTTGTCACTCTCAAAATATTTCATTGAGCAAAGTTTTGATTTGTTGAATATGATAAGATTAAAACAGAATATGTATAACAATATCGTTAAATCCCGAATGACAAGTAAAATCAGTCGGAGAAAAATACGAAATGAAACATACATATTCTGGTAAAAGAAACTGTTTTGATAGCAGTCCTAATGTTATTTATGACGTAATGTAATGAATGTTAGAGTGCATTACTACTCATCAAGCTATAAATTCATATTATTTTGTGATGGAAATGTCGAACCTGTCCGTCCGTACACATTTTTGTTGACACGATAGAGGCTACAGATTTTGTCTGACCCTGAAACTTGGTGTGCCTGTATATATCGATGGAATCTCGGTCAATTTCGAACTTCGTAACAATCGGATGAACGGTTTCGGAGTAATTGCCCCTGACTTAGTTAAAACGCGCCCAATTTGGCTTGTAGGCGCGATAGGAACTTTAGTATTTATCTTGGTGAAACTTAGGACGCATGAATATATTGATGAGATCTCAGTCAAGTTTGAAATTGGTAACAATCGAATGAATTTTTTTAAGGTTATTGCCCTTGACTTAGTAAAAAAAACGCGAAATTTGTCTTATTGGCGCAATAGAAACTGCAGTTTTTATGAAACCTTTCATCTTGATGAAACTGGGAATAGTAGTTTTCTAACAGCTTCCAAAATGCATAACAACGAACTTAAAAAGCTTACGTAATGTTATAAAATAATTTTAGCGTTTAAACATTAATGGCTGAAAACTTTAGTTAAATCATTCAGATACATTAAAGGGAACTGTATTTCTTGATTTTGTCGAGCTTCAAAAATGCAGAATGTCCTTTAAACGCTCACTGATAATATTTTAAAAGATTGGGTTTCCACTGTTGCAGAATAAATTTATTCCTGCCAAGGTCAAATTGAAGTGAATGATTTCACAATATGTCGCTGAGACATTAATTCGCTCGTAAGATTTGACACTCTCTCAAGATCCGGTTGGAGTTAGGTCAAAAGAATAGGTTACCACTTTTACAGAGAAAACGAATTCATATTTAGGTCAAAAGGGAAAGGAATGAAGTGTGGTGAAGCATTTCATAAAATGTCCCTGTGACACCAACTCGATTGTACGAATTTCTCCAGATCTGATATTTTTAGCCGAAACATTTCCTATTAGGAAGTAAACATTTAATTATTCATTTGGCGACTGACACATGATCAAACTGAAAAAAAGCCGTAATAAATAGTCCGTATTTAATAAAACATGAAATGATCACAGAAAGCGTGAAACGACCTCAAACTATTTTGCGAAATATTCCCAGCAAGCTAATTAGGACAGTAATTAATTTTCAAAACATATGTATATGAGAGAAGAGCATTTAAAGACTCAGATATTATTTTCCTTTTTTTCTTTTTGACATACGTAAAAGCCTAAGCTCTTTTTGAAGTTATTTAGCGCATCTGTTTACAAGCTTCGCTACCAGTATCATGTCTTTAAGATTATTTATTTAGTACAGTATTTATTGACTTTTTGTATACTTAAAGTGATACTAAGTCTTAGAATAAACATAAAATTTAATTCTCAAGAATGGTCAATATGAGTATATATTCATCAGTGAACTTACCTGGTGTCATAAAGATACAACAGAATCCCCGTAAATTCTAGAAAATTCATAAAACTAAGTAATTATTGAAAAACATAATATTAAGCGTTTTTCAATAGTTAATGGCATTTTTATTAAGTTTTTTGGATTTATCAGATTATATAAGGATCCTGTTATGTTATTTATGACACCAGGTATATCTACTGATGAATATATTCTCTCATTGGCCAAGATTAAAATTTTTAAATTTTATGTTTAATCTAAGACGAAGTATCCCTTTAATGTATGATAGTGTCTCATTAAACTTCACGACAACACTATCAGACAATACCGCTACAATGTAGTTATATATCAAACTGAATTAGGTGTGGGTTATGGGGGATAAATCACGGACAATATGCACTAAACTGGCAAATTCCAATAATAAATAAAAAAAAAAAAAAGCAATTCTCCCAAAAATGTACAATTTTTAAAATGAAGTACATGTTCGGGCAAATTTTCATGCGTAGAATTAATAATTCATCGAAAAATAGTTTGAGGTAGATTTCTGGTCGTTTCATGTTTTCTACGATCGTTTCCTAGTAATTTCTGGTCGTTTCCTGGTCATTTCATGTTTGTTTAGGTACACACATACGAACACTAGAAATCTGCAGTTCAGCAGTTCTTATATCTAATGGCACGAAATATTGTCTATGCATTTCAATTTATTTGAAAATTTGTTGTGCAATCTAGGAGAGGAAAAGTGCCAATGTCTCATATTTAAAAACTAGCAAATTATCAAAGGTTTACTTCAAAACAATAGCTTTCCTACATGTACTCAGCTCCGTTCAGAAATTATGCATGGTTTTCCCTTACATTTCAGATGTTTAAACATTTTAAAAGCTTGTTAGAATGTCTCTTAAGATGATAGAAGTAGAAGATTTGGAAATTTATATTTGAAATAATTTACTCTAAAAATTCAGATTGGCACAGACGGATTGTTATCCGTTGAAAACAAAAACATCTTATGTGTTAAAGTTTTCATATAGTAGCACACGATGGACATTGTTCAAGAAGAAACATTGCGTATGCCGATCTGTCACATGTCTTTTTTTTCTCACGAGACCACAAGGAATGATTCGTAAAAGTGTTTTTATTCAATGCAAACGACAGAAACATTGTTGGCGAAATATTTGTTGATTATTCATCCAAGTTGGATTTACAAACAAATGTTTCGTGAAACAAATAGCAAAGTCTGCATAAGCACACGACGGATTTTAGGAAACAATCCTTCGTTGAGTAAAGGTGCATTAAGCTTTACTAAAAAAAATTAGGTCTCTATAAATTAGTTCAAATTCTTCAAATATCAGTCTAATATATATCATTATAAGGCTATTTTTGAACATAATTATTAGTATGTGTCTGGAAGACAAAAGAGAACGTTGATCCATAATTTGAACATGATCTTAGCTAGGATAAAAAGTTAAAGGAAACAATTATTTTACATCTCATACCTTCTTACAACCTTCAGATGTCGAACAAAATGCGTATAATAAGTAATTGTTATAAGATCGTATCGAGTGGGGGGAGCTTAGGTGCTCTATAACTAGGTGTAAATCTAGTTATACAACAATTTACTCTGTAAATATATAATGAGAGGGGAGTGACTTAAATTGTCTGCACAGATAATTACTGACATATTAACCACACCCACAGCACGTGCCAGAGCGAACAAAAAGTAAATTGTATTCATGATTGTATAAACGTGTAACAAAACAAGTTATGGAAAGGAGTACAAACATCCAGTCTCGTTCATAGTCTCAACTTTTCATGTCTTAATGCAGAAACTGCGACCAATATTAACAAATTATTATATGAATTAAGTAAACATGCTTCCAGTGGAGTTTTTCTTTATATCATACAAAGTCTCTGTGATATTTTGGAAAGACAAATCTGTTACTAGTTCGGTTGAATAAACTGATGTTACAGCGTTGCACGTGCAACGATTATAAGGTAACAAAAAGTCACTCCCCTGGCTGCCAGACGTTTGTCAATCAAGTCATAAGTAATTCATAATTTAAATTTGTAATTTGTCGGGTTCGGTGTTCGATTCTGGTGACTCTGAATAAAGCAGATATACTTCAGTATATGGAAATCGTGCTATGCCAAGATATTGTGAAATTATAATGGATGACACAGATCAACGATGGGTACACGAATATATGTCAATGTCACATATTCATACAGATTATAGTCTGTCAATTTGATGAATGTGTTATCATTAATCAGAGTTGCATAAAAATATATACCGGGTCCTATATTCATGTCGAATAAACAATAAAAACGACTTCTTCACTTCCGGAGTCAAATGCTTTACAATGTTCTAAAACGATTTTAAGTCTCATGCGATCCCCAGATACAAGCAATGATATTTCCACAATATTTTCACACGCGAGCTAACGATAGATACTCATTCGGAACTCGAATAAAATCGATATAATTGGAGCAAATTAAGAAGAAAAGATTCATAAACTCTAATGCTCTATAAATATTGTTTTATTTTCGTCCATGAAGTATAAAGATACAAATTTCTTATGTTTGTTTAGTATAATAAGTTTAAAAGAAATCGGACTGAAATCTTGAATGTAAATAACGGATAGGCATAGATTATTGTATCATAATGTATATTTCACGAGCTTTTTAAGTTTAACACTTTATAGTCTTTAAGGGAAACAATTGGCAATTTCGTTGTGTACATGCTGAAGAATGGGTTAACTACTGAATCCACCTCGGGCTAAATCTGAATTTCAGCATAAGTTGATACGTTAACTGCATTAAATGTAACTTTCAAACGTGGGTAAGTGTGTCTACACATTGCTAAGAATGCTCAAAATTGACAATCAGCTGTGTACACACTTATCCTTATTAGCTTATGCTTGATTGTCATTACTGCGATTTGCAGGACAATCGTGATCTATATTATGGACAAATCGTGATTATAGTGAGAATACATCTTAAGGAAACAATGAAAACCACAGTCAATCGAGCTGTATATATACCTGTCGGGGTCGAGTCGTAGCTCATATCGGATCACCCTTGATAATGATCGTGAAGGACATGTTAAAGGGTCTTCTCACATGATAAACCAGCGTTTATTTCCCTATAACGATAACAAGATCCACATTCATTCCTTATATTTACATTGGTTTATCTTTTCTGCTAAAATACGCC